AAAAAACCCTCATCATTATAATGCCGTAAGCAGCAAAGCACGAACAAGTCCCTTTCAATGTAAAAATTAATTCTAGCAGCAAATGTTATTTGTGCCAGTTGCCTTCTTCTACCGTCCAAACAAATGAAACATCTATTATTTCTTTGAAGAACTACTGTAAATCTGAAATGATCTTGGTTTTCCAGATTTATTTCATTCAGTAGAACCCTGTGGCAGTTTCGATGAATCCTCTCATGCTCATTTATTTCCCTATATGGCAGATCATGTTCCATTCTAAAAAAAAAATGTAAGAGGATCGGTAGACCGGGCTTAAATGGCAAAACATTGGTATCTTTCAACACAAATCATGCTCTTGTTTATTCACCTACCGTTTTCAAAAAACCTTTTGATATTTGGAATCCACAAACCTGTGAGAGTGTGGGGAAGTATTTTTTTCTACAGCCATGTGAAAAAAAAAATTCAATTACTACGAATTATGTAGGTATACTTACTCCCGCACGTGTGTAGAAAAACTGTTGTAGGTACCTAACACTTGCGGGAAAGGTTTTTCTGCACTCGGCTGCTTCACCGAACTCCGCTACGCGTCGTTCAATGAACGGCAGACTCGTGCGAAAAAAATCATTTTCCGTAATTTTTGGGTGAATATCTATTTTATAAAAATTCAAATTAGTGTGCTGAACAATCGCATATTCCGATTTTCACTGGACTGTTAAGCATGCTAATTTTAATTGTTACAAAAGAAAATGACTTCCCCACACTCTCACCGGTTTGAAGATTCTAAATATCAAGGGTTTTTTGAAAGCGGTAAATAAACAAGGGTATAGGATTTGGATTAAAAGGTAGGTACCAATGTTTTGCTATTCAAGCCCGTGCATTTTATTTTCGGCGCCGTCCCAATTTTTGTGTTGCTACCGATGCTTTTATTGAGTATGTAAGTGTGTTTTTGCCGCCACTTTTTGCGACTCTTTTGTTACATTTTATTTTTAAATCAACCTTTTTAAACACATGCGTACAACCTATCCTTTAAATGAAAAAGCAACTAACTTCAACTCACCTCATAAGCAGTGCAAGCTCTCTAACTCTTTGAACCTCCTCTAGATATTGGAAAGCCCTTGGCATTCCACCTTCATCGCATACAAAACAATTCATTCTGTGTGAACGGAAAAGAAAATATGAGTTTGCTGAAAATCAGATTTTTTGACAAAACTTTTAAACTATGGTGACAGCTACGATAATTATAGAACTGTTTTGTGTCCTGACTCTCAAGGTCTCAAGGGGGTTGGGAGCTCGCCTTCTTTACCATCTTTTTTCTTGGGGTAAAGGGGTAAATCCTTATATTTTATTCGAAAGAAACTTTCTAGCTGAAAAGGAAACAATAATTTTCGGTCTTTTTCCAAGCTTTCTTTAAACCTATTTACTGAGTCTCCTATTGGTCGGGGCAGAGTGGGCCCATGGTATCTTTTGTTTATTTTCCCTAGCTCTACAACATATTAAAATTTAAAAAAAATCGACTGGCCTTTATTTTCCATATAATCCGTGCCATGTCCTTTGGTTCTCACCGATTCTATTTAGAGCAAATGGTCCAATATTCCCACACTAAAAATTGACTCTGAAAACCAGGACAGCAGTACCTAGAAGTACTTCTTCGATTGATGCGATTTGACCAACTCTGCAATTGAAATCACCAAATATGAAAAAGGCAAGATCCTGATGGGACTCATTAACTGAACTCAATGATATCTGGAATAAATCCAATAGATCAAACTTATTCGATAGGTTAAAGTAAACAAAACATATAACAAAACTAAACCTATTAATAGTGAACATGCAAATTAGCCACCAAGGAGTCGTCTCAAGGATATGAACCCGATATATGTTTTTATAAAAAATTGCAAGGCCACCCTTAGCACGCCCCTGAGACTTCTCCTTAATGGCTGGAGAAAAAACAACACTATAGTTATCCTTGAGACCAATGGGGAGATCAACGGGATTAAGCAGCCACGTCTCAGATAGGCAAAGTATTTCAAATGGCGATTGGTTTTCTTCTAAAAAGGTGTGTATGTGGCGATATCCATGAATATTCCAGAATATTAAAGGTGAATGACTTAATTTAAGTTTTTTGAATTTTTCTTAGCACGATCAACACCTGGCGATTGCGACTCTTCTCTGTCGCGCTTAGCGTTGTTGAAATCAGAGACTGGTACAATTTTAGGTGTTCCATTAAAATAGCGAATAGTTAGTTTTTCACCATTCTTCCTCCGTAACTCCAGATCTTTATATAAGTTGGCGAGCTCCTTTATTTCGGCTGGTGTTCTGTCATTTTTAATTTTTAAGTTGGGAAAAGCGGAAAGGGGAGCCTTGGCTTTATTTTTAAGGATAAATAGTGCATCATTCTTGTTCCTAAACTCAACTTTTAGAGGTCTCGATCTATTATTAGTTTTTTGGCCTAGCCGAAAATATCTGACGTAAGTAATTTTATTAGGTTCTGCTATTTTATCAATGAGTTCCTGAAGTTGTGTGTCGGAGATGGACCCCTCATCCAAGCCGCATAAAATGACATTCTTCTCGCGCTCAATACGCATTTTAATCTCGTTATAAGTTGTAATATTTTGTGTTTCTACCGTTTTTTCAAGAGTAGAAATTCTCTCATGTAAATGTGCATTCTCTTGCTGCAAGGTGTTAATATTTTGCGTGCATTGTGCGATATTTTCCCCCTGTCTAAAGTTAAAACATTACTAGTGATAATAGCCATATTAAAAAAACTTTCCTTAAAGTGCAAAAGTGGTCAAATAGCGTTTCCTATTTTCCATCCTTTTTTCTTCAAAAAGGCTGCAAACTATAATAATTTTCCTGCACTTGTTGCTTTAGCAATTAATACAAATCTGTCGATAGTCATTGACTTGCATTTTATAGTAATTTTTATTTCTAGGTTTTGAAGTATTTCTGCAGTTTGCGTAGTGCAGTTTTCAGCTGTTAGATGGCGCCACAGGTACTCATTTCATAATAAATGATGGAATAGGTATTCTTTCACTAGTAATGGAATGGAGCTATTCGGTACTCAAAAACTAAGTCGGAATGGATAAATCCTCTAATAGTCATAGAAAAACTATTTTTTTTTATCTAGAACCTAATCAAGGATAAATGGAAAATTATTTCTCGAAATTTTCGAACGTAACTCTCGATCTCAGTAACAGGCAAATAGAATTATGTTACACATGGGTAACTCGACCACGCCACGATGCTCACTTTTACTCACATCCCGAAAATAAGATCTACCGGATCCGTATTTATTTGCTATGCAATTTAATTTTATATCAAAATAAGTATTAATCCAATAATAACCAATAGATGACCGATTTAATGAGACCTGTCGGGAAGTCGATGGAGAAATCGGAAGTCGCTCCAATTCACAATTGTCTTTGAGTTCCAGTAATAACTATTCTCATATTTATAGGATTATAGATGGATCAATTCCAGAAGTCAATATTTAAATGTTTTCTGTGAGAATAATTTGTTATGAAAGGGGATTTTTGATTAAATGACTCCGACTCACATCCCGAAAATAATAAGATCTACCAGGATCTGTATTTATCTGCTATGCAATTTAATTTTCTATCAAAATAAGTAATAATCCAATAATAACCGATCGATTTAATGTCAGAAAGTCGATGGAGAAATCGAAAGTGGATCCAATTCTCTTTGAGTTTTTGTAATAACTATTCTCGTATTTATAGGATTAAAGGTGGATCAATTCCAGAGCTGAATATTAAATATTTGTGTGGGAATAATTTGGCATGAAAGGGAATTTCTTGATTAAGACTTGCAATAGAAATGTCAGGATAGGATCATTTTTAACTATCTCAAAAGAAATCACAGTTGGTCTAGCCAAGAAAAGATTTATTAAAGTCTCCTTTATAATTACAGTCAAAAAAATCAATAAACTCATGGTGTTCTATTTTTTGTTTTTATAATATAGGCACGTTTATCTGAAAATGTGTGGAAAAGTAATAAATAACGGGGTAAAATGGTTAATCAATAAAAAACCCCATATAGGTGCGGTAGAGTTTCCATTTGGTTTATTGTTTAGGTACACTATTGGAAAAAAATCTAGATTTTTCTTTGACCATCGTAACACCGGTATAAGAAAAGAGTAGAAATGTTATTTGATAATTGAGATATTAAAAGATTAGGATTCCTTGTGTAGGTTTTGTTTGTATAGTCAAGTTTCAGTTTTGCGGCTAAATATTTCCAAAATATACCTTCGTAAAGAAATTCCAAGCTCTATCTATCGAAAAAAAAGTCAGGACAATAGATATTGTCACGCTACACAGTTCGTCGGGACTATTATACATGCAAAGGGGTGTGATTCCCTAATTAAATTTACATAATTCATATACAACAACCGAAGCTTCGGGAATTCTAATTTAACCAGCTAATTACCAAGTCAGGGTTTCAGTAATTTTCGTATGAATTTTGTTTTTCTATTTTTTTGCATTTTTTCGGATAATTCTTAGATTAGATGCCATGTTATGGTAGAATTTCTGTCCAAACACCAAGATTTATTATTCGTCATGTCACTCTTCAATTATTTGTTTTCACAGTTTAGAAAAATAAAAGCGAAAAGGGCGCGGAACAGGAAATATTAATAAAATCCATGGTTTGTATTTGTATAGACGCGAGACGCATACTCATCTATGACAACACTTTGTTTTTGTGTAAATGGAAAAGTGTTATGAGTCAATTATGTGGGATAGTAAGTATGTGATTATAAAAAGAGGTGCAGATTGATTTTAGTCTCTAATTATTCACTGGATTTGTTTCATTTTGAGAACTTTTATTGTAGGGAAAATTGATATTTTTATTCGCTGTAGCACTGCCGCTCTATGTAAGATGGTTTAATTATTGGCACAGCAAGGGAAAATGCAACTTTATTTTTGAAGTATGAAATTAATTTTTCAATTCATATTTATTGAAGAGTTTATTAACCAAGGTCTACTTACCGAAATACTAAAAGAAATACAAAAACTACCAAACGAGAATAATTATTTTGGCAAGATCTAAACACCATACTTGAACCACCAAAAAAAATCACTTGAGATATCGTAATAAGTTTTTGATAAAATCAACGAAAAATCGACAAACAATTAATATTGACACATCCGCGTTCATTACTGCCGCAAAAATTAGTGTTTTAATTAATCAAATTTAAAATCCGGCGTTAACTCCGGACTGTTCCCGTAACCCGGAAATACGCAATCGGTTTGATGATGATACCGTGACTCCGGAGTCATCGTCAAAGACACACGAGACGAGGAGAATTATGGAATCGGCGTTGTCGGCGCGCTTTGAAGAAGACCGATGGGTTTGTCTCCGGCACTGGGCACGTGGATTGGGGAGGATTAAACCTTGCGGTGGTGGGGATTACAGGAACACGATGGAGGCTCAAAGGGTAAGGGACTATTTTCTATAAGGGCTGAAACATTTACAAGCTGAAAATTTGTCAGAGTTGAAATGTTTCCAATGATATTCATCAAATCACGAAATATCATATTCAATCCATCTTAAAATTCTGATTAAAGTCCATCATTCTGATTTTTCGAGTAGTTAGAGAAAACAAATTAGGAAAGGTGACGAAAAAAACGAAAAACTGCAATAATTATTATACCTACCTATAGAGGAAATACTAATTGAAAAATCGAAAAAACAGGAAAAAAAAAACAAGCCTAGCAGTTTTGAATTAAGGAAAAGCTTGTGACAGGGTGCAAAAACGTTAAGAACAATAAGGCAAGTTTTTTTTTTTAACAAAGCAAGCTATAGAAAATAAATAAAAAAAAATTGGGAAATTTTTGTATGAAAGGAGGATTAGGACCATGATTTCAAAGGAACTGAGAGTGTTGTACCATAGTATAATTTATCCTGAGAATCGAGATTATTGCAGCGTTTGATCCCTGGTAATTTTCCAGCGCTTGTTATTGCAGCACGCAGAGATTTAAAGTGATTTACACTCGACTCTTTTTACATTAGATTTTTGCAAAATGCAGAATTACCTGTACAGTATAGTATGATACATTAAAAATTATGGACAATGACAATACCTTTCTGGTCACTATCACTGACACTAAAAACGAAAAGCCTTATTGACAATGTAAATGTAATCCCAAATTATTCTTCTCGTTTCAACAATTGGCGTGTTTGTAATTGACTGGATTTACCACTAGTAGCATATATAATCGTCAGTTAATTTTAATGTCATAGCTTTTTTAGTGGATTTCGCCGATTTTGGTATATAATTGCTACCCTCGCCACACTTACCTCCTTCGTCCAGTCAGTTCATTCTTCAAATTTCATAGCTGGATTGTTATCTTTATCTCCCTCTAGTCCCTCTTTACTACCCCTTCTTACTACTTATAATTTTCAGAATTTTGAATTTTTGAATCACCTCATCAAAATCCATTGAAAGCTTCAAGGATACATTTATCTCTAAATAAGATGGACATTTCAGTAATTATTAGACATTCGTCAAATGGAGAAAATATTCCACAAAAGCTAATTAAACTACTTATACAGGAAAATATGTACTAGTGTGTGAAGATTGGTCTCTTAATACAAATGATGCAGATTTGCAGTTAATAATTGTATAGTGGATGAATTTGAATAAACTATAGGATATGACAATGAAACGCAGTTCAAAGAATTACATTTTCATTCTTGAATTCCAGTCGAAAATATAATGGAATACAGTGAGTGTTCGTATTATAGGTGTATGGTGCAAATGGCACATGAATAGAAATAGATTCCCGATGCCCTCACTAAATCGTCCCACTAACTGTATGTGGAATAGGTATCCTGTAGATTCACGATGCTCAGAATCAACACATTTGTAGAAACTCTATTTGCTCAGTCATTTGGAAACTAATAGTAGAGGCCTACCAAGAGGTGTTGTTGGTAGTGCATACCTAACTTATCCTCAAAGAATATGATGAAATAGAAACAGTCCGCATAATAATAGGAACGGTCAAAGAAGAAGTTGAAGGCGGAAATTAGGAAAGTCACCGTCGAGTGGGGCTACAATCTATTGACAAATCGGATGATGTTGAAGAGAGAAGTCATCGGTAGATATGTTCACCAGCTACCGTAATTTTTCTCCAGAACTAATGGAGAATTTCAAAAAGAGTTGGAATCATTTAAGAAAAGAAGAAAATGATTGATATTGCGGAAAAGCCAATCTGGTAGAGCATAGCATCAACACGGGAATTGACACACCTATTCGCCAACTACCACGAATAAATACTTATGTTCACAAAGCAGCACCAAAAACTCCATACTACTAGAATACTGAAAATATAAAGAAATATGAATCTATTACCTAGTCTATGGTCATCGCCTGAACTTACTATGATACCAAAAAAGGTGCCTCAACGAGGCTCTGCGTGAATTTCAGACGTCTGAATGACGCCACGAAGAAAGATTTTTCGATGTTCAGTCTTCAAGCTCCTAATCCTCTGATGTTTCAGGAGATAATCTCCGAATGGTCAATTCTTTCGAAGATTAGATGTTTGAGAAGCTGCCAGCAACGATCAAACTTTTCATCAGGTGTAGGTCTAGAGACAACTTTAACTGTGGAACGCAGATTTAAGAAGAATATATAGTTGTGGGAGTCAGCATAAGTCTCGTTTCTGGATTATTTGTATGTAAGATGATCGCAGGCGTTGTTTCGACTTCTTCGATCATCACTCATCAGCACCTTTAAGGGAGTTGATAATGTAGAAAAAATACGCATTAGAGCCCAATGACCTCTGGAACAGTGGAACATTTTATCTCATGCCAGCCCTTTAGACCTTTTATGTGTAGAAGTATCTTTATGTTCCGAGTTTTTTCTATGACTAAATAATCAATGGTTTCTTTGCGAGAAAATATAAATAAATATTAAAAATTATCTGAAGCTGGAGCAAAATTGTGATGCACAAATAAAAGTCAACCTATTCGAAGGAAGTAGTAAGTTTTTGAATCACTAATGATAGAGATAGTGCGCATGCTTGGAATGGCAGGTGCTTGTAGGAGTCACAGGTGACAAAATGTAAAACATGACCATCGATGACGTAGAAAAAAAAAACGTTATTTTGCTGGTGAAAATCGCAAGATAAGCCGCATGAGCTTTTGTTGTTGGCAGCTCGCCCTTCCGAAAGCCTGTTACTTTTCTTAGCCTAAAAGCACCTCATAAGAAGGTTTTTCTTTCTTACAAAAGTAGAACGTAGGCATAATTCTAGACGGGCGGGCTAGATACCTTTGGCGAAATAGGGTACTTGCATATTTTTTTTAAATTTCAAAAATGTATTCTACTACATTAAAGACATAGTCATGCCAAATATCAAGCATTAAGAATCAGCCGTTAATTTTTTATAAACATTTGAAGTTACGCTCGAAACATTTACCATTTGAAACGACCGATTAGTTTGACGTCACTCGGCAACAAAATTCCGTTGACAGTGACGAGCACTTCGAACTTCGAGCAGGTAGATTTAGATTATGGTTATGTTTGCCGTTTACGATAGATTTGACATTGGCGATGGCGACACCAGCAGCACATCGCGTGGCAGCGGTGCGACCCGATTATTACTGCCTTATGACGTCACGACCTATAGAAACACGTTTTTGATCGCGTCATGAATTTGGAATTATCTGGTATTTTTCAATTGAAGATTTTGGACATCAGAGATGAGATATTATATTTTTTTCCTAATTGCATCATTTATCAGGATTATTGTTATTGTATTTATTCTATCGCGAATGGTAAATTATCATTTTATCGACCCGAAACTCATTGTCAAAGTAACACTTTTTTTTGGAAATAGTGAAATCGAACAATTTTTACCCACTCATATGTCAATTTTACCCACTCATATGTCAATTTTACCCATTCATACGTCAATTTTACCCACTCAATACTTGATGGTCAATTATTTTGAAACTAATTAAAACAAAACGTACTTTGCTTATCTCAGTGAATTTAGAAAATATTAGGTAGCTTCACAAAAATAGGTGTCATCCGAAGCCTCTCTCAAAACACGAAGAATATCTTCTCGTTCAAATACCTTTACAATAATTATTAGGTACCTGTGTTGGAGACACAAATCTGTAAAGTTATGTTGTATGATTGACAACACCAGAAATATGTCAGTTTGTTACTTTGTCAACTTGTCATAATGTAGATAAATAATGTATAATTTCAGTTATTGTTATAAATAAAAAGTTGCTCAAGAATAAAATAGAATATTACACACGACGGTAAAAAAGCTTTACCTGTTCGTGAAATTAATCCACTCGCTCCTTCGTCGCTCGTGAATCAACATTTTCCACTCACAGGTAAAGCATCTTTTTACCGTCTTGTATAATAAATAGTATATTGTTTTATTAGGAGTAAAAGTGATACTTTTGTGATGAGTCTGTAAGTTTGCCTGCCGAACGCAGTGAGGCCGGCAATACGAACAAGTCACAAAAGTAGCTTTTACTCCGAATAGAACACGATATGTTTTCTTTAAACTTGTCTGAATAATAGAAGAAAATCGAAATTTTCTCAAATATTGATGATGATACCGAACAATCCATCAACTAGGTGACAAAATGTCAATCTTTGCGTTGTTATGGCAAATATTCACGAGCGGAGGTAAAAGACTTTTACTTCCGCTCCCGAGCGGAGGTAAAAGTCTTTTACTTCCGTTGTCTATAGTAACCGTCAACTGACATAAAAGTTTAAATTTAACATCATGAAATTAGTAGATACATGTCAGGTTTTTTGACGTTTCAAGAAAATAACTATTTATTATTTATTCCATATTTAATTTAATGTGCAAGTTCCCTATTTCGAAGTAGACAGTTTCACAATATTTGAATTCCTACCAGAATCGCAGCTTAGGCATTCCTTCGCCACGTTATTACTAGTACAGCGGATTAGCTAACCTATTGTGCACTTTTTGATAAAAGCACACTAAATTTGGCAAAGAGGTAGACCGATGTTATATGAACAAATTTGGATGTGGAGCCATCCGCCAACTGCCCCCGGGCAGCCAGGGCGGTCATTTTCCAACATGGTCGCTAGTAGATATCCCAAAAGACAAAAGAAGTTGGATAAAGTTTACTGCTGAAGGTTTTAGCGAATGTTTATTGATTGTTTGGAATCAAAACATGGCAGATAGTTTGTAAGTTATATGTGGGGTGTTTCAAAAATGTCGCTCTGGAATTTTTGGTTAAAATACTTCGAATTTTAGTTCTAGGTATCAGGAAGTAGTTTATTAAAAAAATATATATATTGAAGATTAAAGAAACAGGGATAAAAAACATGAACACTTTTTTGTTTCCTGATGCAAGTTTATCAGCATTGCATTTCCAAACTCGATATTACTAAGGGAAGTTCGTGTCCTAT